TACATTAAAAGGAAAGGATGTGAACTTAGATGAAGATAACAAAGAAACGCATGAGACAATGAATTTGAGGGATGTAAAATTGGTTGAATAATTCATGACATTGTTACAATTTGTGTGATCGATTTGTACATTGTTTATTCAATCATTTTATTTTATTTGGAGCTTCGCGATATTCAAAATTCGCGACAACTTCTGCGGAACGAGTAATTAGCATAAATGCTGAATTTTCTTGCGATGAAATATGGAGAGCGGAATTTCCTGGGATGAAACAGCCGGAGTGGAGTTTTCTTGGAATGAATTAGCAAGAGCGGGATGATTTTCTGAGGTTAAAATGAAAGGGGCAGAATTGTTCCCCGTAATTTCCGGAGTATTTGCATGTTCATTTACATCTGGTGCTGTTTCTCCAGTGTATTTATATCCCAATGTTGTTTCGCCTGAAAAAGCACAGTGATGTTACCGTATCATTTGTTGACATTTAACAGAATATGCTGAAAAAAATCGATACAACTTGCCTGTCTCTCCCGTCTTTTCTTCTTTCAGAATCTTCAGTGCAGAACGACCTGTAATTTCTACAATTGATAATGGTATAATTTTAATGACAAATGAAAGACAGATTCAGTTGGGAAATCCATGAACTCACCAGTTACGTTTCGTCTTCTTTTGTTTATGACACGTAAGTAGTCTTCTTCAGTATTGTCATGATTGTGCTCTTTGTGGAATGATGAAATTCGAAGACATCCATTTGTTGTGTCAGCATTCAAACGAAATCTGGCTTTGCAACCCAATGGAAGATAACTTTGATTTGGACGTTGACCGACACCTGAAGGACTGAATTGTGAAATTTTTGCTTTACTCCTACAAGACAAGTCTAATCGGAGTTGTGCTTTCTGTTTCACTTATAGTGTGATAGCAACTGGGAGACATCAACTTTTTGACTGAAACTTATGAGTAAGTAGCAAGCTACAATTTCTCCTGGTTAATTTATTCGATGACCTTTACACTCGTCATAGACGGCGCATCTTAACGTGTAAAGTGTGCATTGGTATGGTTGTATCTGTAGAGGTAATAGAATAAAATATGGTTTTATTGTCGAAAGTAATTGTTTGTATGTTGCCTGAGAGATTTTCAATTTTATGATTAGTAACTGCTACAATTTTATGCAAATTCTGTAACAGCAGATAGCAACTTGGCTTTGGCTCAACGTAAAGTATTAATAACCTTGGCTCATTTTCGAGATCTGATAAATTATTGCAGATTTTTTTCTTTTTTTTCCCAATAAACGATGCATCTTAGAGTATGTGTTATGGATGTGATTGTCATTTATTGATCATTTATTTCATTGCTTTAAAAAGACTGGCTGGTTGGGTCCCTTGAAATTACCCATTCCAATGCCACCAATCTTCATGATATTGAGGGAGCAGCTGGCGAACACAGTTTCTATGGTTTGGAAGGGCACTGCTTCCAATGCTTATGATTTAATGCTTTACAATGGTCAATGTTAAAAAAAAGAAATCTCAAAATGACCTCGTAAATATGGTACTATCAAGGAGAGGGGAGGGGAGAAGGAAGCGATAATTACCGATTTCATCATGTTATTTGTTTCATCTAAGCTGTCAAAAGAGTGTAATTCCAAAAATTGATTCCTTCACTTTTCAATTACAATTGATATTTAAAGTTAAGGCTGCAAGAAACAATCCCAGTTCACAACTCTGTCGAATAGAACTTATTTGTCATCATCCCTCCTATCTAGAATGATTGTCCCGGATCCCTAAAGCTGATATTAATTAGCATAGATGTGATAATGCTCTTTTCCTACTACTATCCAATGTGGTATTTATAGCTCAGCATTGTGACCAGTAGACCTGACTGTTGGAGTGGAAGAGCGACAAGCGCATTTGGTAAGCCGGCTGGTGCAAGGGTTTAGCGGTTAACCCATAAACAAATCATCCATCAACTGCAACAGCTTTCCTTCGATTAATATCCAATTCTCTCCCACTCTCTACTTAACTGAACAAATAAATGACATTTATAGATTGAGGACTTCGTTAATCCTCAATAAAAGCCAACACATATAAAGCTGAAATGAAAATGCTCTTAGGCCTTCTTTCAATCTTTTGGTACCATAAAATCCAATGGGAAATGAAGTTGCAAGCCATGCACTTTTATAGATAGCGGTATGATCAATATAATTGTAATTGTTGTCAAATAATTTTGATCTGTCACGACAAAAGTGTTAATTATTCCTATGCAAAGTCAAGCCAAATATAAATCAACAAAATCGGCAAAACAAAAGCGATCGATAAAATGAAATCAAAAAGTGGATGACAAAAAGATACAATCCTGAAATGCTTAACGCTTAATTTTTTTAGAATATTTTAGTGAATGAATTCAGAACTTTATTAAGTTCTCCATTCCTTCTCATTAAAGCATTTCAAATTCGAATTTTCTTAGGACCCCTCAACTTCCAATTCAATGCTCATTAATTCTCTTAACAAATTAGTTGACAATCGATTGACCATTGCAACTATCCATGGCATATGACAGTATTGCTATGTGTAAAAATTAGTGATGATATTATCAAAAGGAAAAGTGTTTTAGATAGTATAATGCTAAGACATGCATATGTTATCACTTCAGTGTAAGATATCAAAACCCAAGCAGACTGAATTCGTAATGAATTCGTTCAAAAATTGGAAGAGTTGGATTTGAATCAATAATCCATCATTTTAAGTATCGAAATATTTTTTTTATTAATGTTATGTAACGAATCATTTACCTAAGAAATATTCTAAATTTTAATTAAAGCAACTCATAACATTTTTTTTT